GTGAAGAACTGTGTAGACTTCACAGGAACTGTTGCATAATATTTCTGAAAAACTTCTCTAAGTCTCCATTCTTTAAAAACCCATCATACATTGATTTTATACTAGTGAATTCGAAACTTCCTTCCTCTGGCTGTTGAAAAGAATACTTGCTTAGTTCATCCCTCAAGCTTTTTTTAAACAGTTCAGTTTCATTTATTTTCCTGATTGCGGAAGCCACGACTTCAGCAAGCATGCTGACACTCAAACGCTGAATAGATCCTTTGTGAAGACTACTGTGTTTCAAACTTCTGTTTCGTTCATAACCTCCTTTGGTTTTATACTTTTCCCCACAGTCTTTGCAGATAATTTCATGTTGCTGGATCTACAACAAAGAAAGAAAAATTACGATTCGTGCAACACATTGCTACAACCAGCTAAAATTCGATGTGATACTCTGAACTCAGAGCTGTTTCCAGCAAGTACTTCTCATATTAAACGAGACATTCAGGCCTGCACAAACCAACCCGACCACTGTAGAGTTCAAACTGAAAGTAACAATGAACAGCATGAAACGTACGGCCGGCACCAATCTCAATGACAAATCCAACTGTTTGAGGATAGGATAGCTTCTCTGCGATTATCACATTCTAGGAACGTCTAGGACAGATTCCTTAAGATTTTAATAGTTGACCTAAAAAGGGAGGAAGTGTGGGGGAGAACTGGAGTAAAATGTGCTTTCCTCTTTTAGGCCATTTCAATAAATGAATTTGCTACCAAGACAAAGTCTAGGATTTTGAACCTTTATTTATTTATTTATTTTTTTTCACTATCCCGGCAGCTATTTTTTTTAATTAATGGTATCTTTTAAGCTTTTTTTTATTACTATTTTCGTGCCATTTAATCTCACTTTTTTATCTCTTTCCTAATCCGTGTTTATATCTAAAAGCTCTTTGTTTGGTGGAGAGTTTTCCTGAATAGTGTGAAAATCCACAGCCGGTCAACTTAGATAATAAATCGTAAAACATACTAGTAACGGCTGTGTTTGCTAAAAATCTTTGGCTTCAAGGTTATTATTAACTAAAATACTACCGATACGACAAGATAAAGAGAATCTAAGCATCAAAATTTTTAGACAAAAATAAACTGAATTATTAGTTATCTTAAACCCCACGCAAACTGCTTGATAAGGTAGAGGCGCGGCTACTAAGGCAAATATGGTTTCCAACCTATTGGCGGCGTAATCTTTCTGTCAACAATCGAAACCGACAACACAGTTATGGTGGGCTTGCTTGCCGGCAGAAACACTCTAGGAACAAAAGAACTGTGCTAAGGTAAGACATAGAGTATTCTTGACTTACGAACTCCCATTTCAAAGCAAAAAATTTATGAATATGGTATAAATAAGTCGTGCATTTCGTGACTTATTGCCCCAGCGCGCAATATGTTATTTCCTCTCGTAAGGTGCTCGTCGCGAACTCCTCACACGTGCGTTCGACCGGTGATTATTTCTTGGCCAAACGGTGTATATTAGTTTGGAATGACCGTTTTTGAGGCTAAAGCAGTTCTGAATAAAGGAGAGTGGTCTATTAGAAGAAGGCCAAAACTTTGTTTTGATTATATAAGATCGAGAACTGCTATCCGTTAATATGGCGGGTATGGTTGAAGATTCCGTTTTCTCCATATGAAAACTATTATGGCGAGAAGCTAAGAATTTCCCTGGATCTCTTGGTCGAAACTAGCCCTGTTATTCAAAGAGGAATGCGAGAAAAACCGCGAACACATTTAGTTAGAATTTTAATTAAAACGTAGCGTTGGTGAACTTCTAACTTAAAAAAAAGTTTTAACGGCTCGATCCTCCTAACTTCGATAACTCTTATCGGGTTCGCTGGCATAAATCGATGCCTGTCGGTCCTAAAATTTCTTGACTACTTTGTGTTGTTTCTGTTTATTTATTTGCCCGTTTTTTTTATCTACCCATCTCTTTATGAATCAGGTACAGGAATTTCTCTCAATTATTGTTTGTGCTGCTAGGTAAGAGTAACGTGTCTACTATGTGTTGGGTGTTGTTGGAGTAGTTAATGCATCGACAAGCATGAGTCAGCTTAATGGACCTAAGTTATTTCTTTTCGTAATTACCGTTGCATTAGATCCCGTTGCACAAAACTGGTTAACCGCAAACGGAATCTGTTTTGGATATTTATTGTTCTGTCATACTTTCTCGAATGATTTCGCGCCTTGCGAGTTACGTAATGCGAACTTAGATGCGTTAATATTGCACAATGACAAAAATCGTCCTTCTGAAACGGGATGTTCAAAGTTACTGTTGTAAAAAGTCCTTTTTTTAGTATGATTTTTAGCAATTGTGGGATTTTGTTGTGTGTAAATTACGTAATGTGAAGTGAGATGCACTACAATTCGTAGGTCTGGTTCACGCAAAAAAAAAAAAAAAAACCTTATTCCTATTAACTTGATATTCACTAAGTTGTTAGTGAGACTTTATAGTATGTTAGCATTTTGGACTGATTATTTTGGGAAGTCAAGCATTTAACAAGCAAACATCGTGAGGCAAAGCTTCGTGCGTCATTGAATGACGTAGCTGGTGCTCTAAAGTACCCCTGATTGTACCTAAAGATTTACATAACTTAATCTTCCGCTCAACAAACTCTCGGAAAGTTTTATTCCTCCGCTTTCTGTTCACGGGTTCTGCGAAACTCTTCTTCAACATAAGCGTTCGATGAGCGTTTACGTCGGGAGGAAACAGATATAGCCCCTGTTAAATAATTTGTATGTTTTGTTTTTAACATTCATTGGATCTGAATTTCGCAGGTGAAAGTAAATGACATCGAGGAGCGATTTAATTTCGGACAGTATAGGCAACGGTATCAATAAGAAATGAATTAGTGAATTTATTTTTCCCTTAGAAAAACATAAGTGAAAATTCTCAAAGTTCTTTGCAACTAGCGAAGAAAATAGAATCACAATGGAGACTTGCGAGGGGAATGATACAGACAAAGAAAACAATCGTCGCAAAGAAAAGGTGAACAAAACGATTACATCGTGTCGTATATAAAGGGCCGCAATCGATGAATATTTATCATTAATTAAACGGTTCTTTTAATCGTTCGTGATTATGCAAAGTTTGATAGTTTTGTCACGAAGAGGTGAATAAGCAAACTAAGTGTCTACGTGTAGTAACTGGCCTGCAGAGTAGGCGCAAGTTTCTGGGTTTTTCGGGTGACCAGGGGAAACGCGAGGCGAGGTGCAATAGAAACGTTTTCCAATGAAAATATCTTTGTTTTTGAAATCAGTGATACTCGTATCAATCAGTTTGCGCCGGGTACGTAACAGGGCCAATACGAACAAATCAGAAATAAACTTTGTAATAGGCTCTTTGCATGACTTAATCAAGTCATCAACTTTCGGTAAACACGAAAACAGTTTACTTTTGTTAGTGCAAGCTGAAAGAGCACATTAAAATTAAGTATCTTGAGAATTTTCAGCCGTATATCTCAAAAGTAGCGATTGCAACGGCCGCCGAAAGTTAGAAGCATTTGTCTTATAAAAACAACTTTTGCCACCCAGTCACGCCGACATGGTTTTTCATTCGAATCCTTGTAATTTTGAAATTTTCAAAACTGTCATGAAACATTTCCTTAAGCACTACAGGGCTCAAATCTCCTCTTTATTCAACAGAGGCAATTAAACAATGTAAGGGGCCTTATTACATGACCCGGGCTGTCCCGATTTTGCCGAGATCTTGGCACTTTTGTTTCACGCAACAAAAACCAACTTCGTGATTACATGACAACCGAGCCAGCCCGTTAAGCGCGATACCGGGATTCCCGTTAGCCGGGCTGAGACTTTTTCCTGCGATTGCGTTTGTCGGGCAGGCCCTGGCCAGCCTGGTTTATAAGCTAGCGAGAGTGCAGCGAATAATACACCGCTTATGCGCCTTGGTTACGATACCACGGAAACATGACGGCAACAGAAATGGTCGATGGCCTTCATCGCTCTCTGGGTGAATTCAAATCTAATAGGGAGTATCGAAACGTGGACTTCAAGGCCGGTAAAAGCAGACAATATGAAGCAGTGAGAGATACGATGGCGAGAAAGCTATCTTCTGGCGTTATTAACTCGTTTGGGCGAGCGGTCACTTCCCCTCAAAATCGAGTCTGCTGCGGTTTGCACAAAGACAGTTCCGGGCTGGCTCGCTCGCTTCATGCAATACCGGCCTGAGAGACATCAACGCGGACCGAGCCAACAGTGCGTTGATCAAAAATATGTTTGAGGGCCAGAAGACCTTCGCCATCTGGAATGACAGCATAAGGAGACCATTCGCTCCGACGAAGGGCTAACGCTCGAAACGTCAGCTTTTGTAATCGTTACGGTGGCCAATTTACCATTTCAACTTTGTTGATATATCCAAATTATTCCATATGAAAAGTTTGTCTTCGCCAAGGAAGTTACAGTCGTGTGTTGGCTGTCTTTAATACATTTTGGTAAAGTTTGGGCGATGGGAGCTATAATTTCGTCTAAATTGCTGGAAGTAAATTCGGAGGGACAACTGCAAGCTGAGATAGTGGGTTTACCTGGGTTGTTAGGTTTGTGGATTTTGGGTAAAAAGTGAATACAAGAAGCTCTAGGAGTAGTGATGGTGAGATCCGTTAGGGTGTTTCTTACACCAATCAGATTGCACAGGGTATGTTGCTCCAACCAATCAGATTCCTTAGAGTTTGTTACTCGCACCAGTTAGATTCGTTGAAATGTTACTCGGACCAACAAGAATATACCAAAAGGTCTTATTGCTCGCCCCATTTGGGCTCTGACATTGGAGTTTCTTACATTTTTTACAATTACATAAAAACCGCTGCCGACGTTCGAAGGTAACAGGGTTATTTTGCATCAAATCAAGATGATCCAGTACCTGTTGAGGGCCATGGCGAGAACACACCACAATGGCAACCTTTTGTGTTTGTCACACTCAGAAAATGGCTCATTTGGTGGTCAGGGTTGTCTTAAAATGATCAGCTAGTTTTATTTATTTTCTGTTTTAACTGCCTCTTTGAATATCGGTTTCTTTGCCTTAAGAGAATTTTCATGATTTACTTGTTTTTAAACAGTATTTCCCCAGTGCAGGTACTCCGTTACTTGCCACTGTTGATTAGGCTTTTTCCCAATACAGGACATTTTCTGGTAAACAGTTCAACCTTAATCACCGAATCCTTAAGTAACACACTGAAAAAGTTCTTATGGACCGAAATGCTACATTTAGTCAATTTTCCACACAATCCTGACCTGCTTTGATGTTTACTACCATTCAAATTTCCCTTGGACTTAATGCTATCACGTTTCAGAGCGTTTTAATTCGCATATATCTTACGCAAGGGCTAAGCGCTGGTAGGCACCGACCAATCAAAAGCCCACATGGTAATCCTCACTTGGAAGCCTCTCTCTTCCTTCAAAATATTTTCATTGATTCGGCTAAAAGAGATCAAAAGTATCTTTGGTTTGTGTGTTTTGGGGATACAACAGAGTTTCGGTTTTGCTTTCCACACAAACATCATGGGGTATGGAATTTTGAGGCAAATAACTGTAAGAGAACAAGTTTGATTTTGTCAGTGACACGGAGGAACCGCAGCAAGCCTGGCGCCGAGTCAGTTTATTTTTGTCTATGACTATTCAGATATCTGAGACGATACACCACTAAATACCTTTATTTCCGAGGTTATTCGACATAAATCATTGCGGTACTTTGCGCCTTTTTAAAATGAAGTGTTGTCTTCTTTTTCGTCGGAGTGTTTGAAAGATAGTGCTCTCTGCTTTTTATTTTTGTTGTTGTTTTTTTTAACTGTATTTAATATATTTGCTTGGGTGATTATCAAGGTAACTAATTTTTTCTTTCATGCTCTTCAACAAAAACGTGCAAAAATTACGCATTGTTTATTTGGCATTAACCACCTTAGGTGCCGCTGCGATTACTTAAACGAGGTATGACATAATTGTCGACCAATAAGAATGTGGGCATTGCTATAATCAGTGTACTATGAACATTTATCAACAAGATACAAATAAGTATTTATTCATCTCTCTACTAGCCGTGCTGATATTAAGGAATCTGAAGGAAAGACAACACCCTGTATCTGGTCTAGCTGCCACAATATCCAAAATGGTAAGTCCAACTTTCTTTTCATGATAGTCATTAAAGGTTAAAAGATTTTGTTTTACGGGTCTCTTAAGAACTAGCAAAATAAAAAACGGCACTTTGCAGACTAAAAACTCTAACCAATTCTTACTCGAAGGATAACTAGCCCCTGATGTGTGATAGGTTTGTAGTTTTCTCAAATGTGCTTTTACCCTTTATGAGAAACAGTCTTTCAAATGAACTTTCCTAACTCCAAATTGCGGTTGTGATTTGCATGTTTCTTGTTAAAATGTCCTTGCATTACCTTGCGAACGATTCCATGGAGCGGAGGAACGTTTCAGCTGGAGATGTTATCTTAATAGAAGCCCAATTCTCCTAGTTTATTTACCAGGAAAGTTAAAGAATTTAGAAGGGAGAAATAGCATTCAGACTGTAGAAATGAAAGGGTTGAACCTGTAGAAATGAAAGGGTTGAACTTCAGACTGCATGGGTGGTTGTTTTTTTTTCTGAAAGAGTTGACAAACCTTAACCTTGTCCGCGACGCAAACTTTTCATACATAATTTATTTTATCTAACTGGAGCAATTAGAGGTTTTCGTAGGTTTGCGCTGGTGTTTAGTCAGTCGTACGTTAATGGACGTGCATGTACATTCCACTAGTATGATAAAACAAAACAAGTTTGAGAAAAGCTTCCTCGCGTCTCCGGAGAAAGTCAGGGTGGGGTCACAGTGTCACCTGATTTTGATTAAGTTCCAACCAAGCGCGAATCCTTAACAGCTTGAAATAAAAGAATGAATAACATTGGAAAAATGAAAATATTTGTGGTTTGAATTTTTGTCTGCCGAATTATGCTTTTCAATATATGTCTCTTCGATCTCGCGTAGTCTTGCAAACCATAGTAACGACGCAGCTAAGGAAACCTAGTTACCACTTTGCCTGCAAACAGAACGAAAGAAGAGTGCGGTGCGACATGGCGATGGTTTTCTGTCAATCAGCCAGTTTATTGAGTATTTGAGTTTCGTGGATTCACTTGTCATTCTAGTTGAGACCTTCCAAGGCCAGTATGTTTTACATTTTTTTTCATTTCAAACTAACCGTCACTATTTTAACTACGCTTTCTGAGAAAAAGTCTTGCAAAATGTTGAAACGTACGTAAGTTATCTACTTAGACGTATTTTCGGACTGAATATCTATAGCCCACCAAATTTTGATTTATGAGGGCGCACTCTGATTGGCTACTCGAACTCCGAATATCCTTTTTTTTTTTTAGATCAACTCCGCATATTGCGTTTTTAGAGTTCTGATTGGTTCAACTAACTCTGGTTATCACCTCATATTCCAAGTCACCATGTATGGAAATACTTTGCGCCAACTTTTGCTAGGCCGAAAAAAGGCTCTAAATATCCAAACGTTGTCGGATACGTGATGCGTTTTATCCAGCACTGACTCATGGAAGAATTTTTAACTAATCACCTCCGATCAGCTCGCACCCGAAAATGTTGTCATCTTTGCAGGAATGAATGATTTAAAAACCATCTTTTGTGCTGTATTATCTCACTGTTTATTAAGTAAACACCTTCAGGCGGTCGGTATGTTGGCTGATAATGTCCGCGGCTGAGACATTGTCAAAGAAATGAATGTTTTGCCGAAAAGCGAAGCTTCGAGGGAAAATGTGAAATTTTTAATACAATTTCTCAGCCAAGGACATTATCAGCCGACACACCGACAAACCAGAAGGGGGTTTATTTATTTTACAGCCCTTCCATTAATTTTAATATCGGCGTGCATGGACAACACATTTTTCTGACCTTTTTCACTTTCCCGAGTAGTATTCATTGAGATCAGTTAGGACTCAACAAAACTAGACTACGAACAGTCTCTCCTTGTTCGGCGAAGTTCGTCGCGCGAGTTAAAAAAAAATCAGTGAAAAAAAAGTTGCTGTTAGCTCGCCGCGGGAAGTTCTTGTAGTGACGCCAATGCGCCGCGGGAACTCCATGAGTGAGGCTACCGAAAAGTAGGACGCAAGACACACACGGAAAAAGTCGTTTGGCGGTGGTTCCTTACCTCTTTAGGAGTTTTGTTCGTGAGAGTCATCCTTACCGATCCATTTTACAGATTTTGAGTTTATTGTACGCCTTGAAATTTGAAAGGTTTAGTTTTTTAAGGTCACCCGTGTGCTGCGATGACATGAAGATTGACTGGTGATTAAAATAACTAATCTCACTGGTTACGCTTTATTTAGATTAAAAAACCTCTCAGCCGTGCAATGTCAAACTCTTAGGCTTGTTTCGTAGGCCTTGTAGGTAAATAACTACACGTTTAACGCCAAAAAGCGAATGCACATTTAATTTATTTGCCAGATGGATGCCTATTTATATAAAGAGATTTGTAGTTACGTGTGTGATTCGACTGAAATTAAATAATTAATACAAATGTCTAAGTACAAAATATAACAACAACGAGAACAACAACCAAAAAAACCAAATGAAGTAGAAACGAACTTACCATTTGTAAAACTCTTAAATAAAAGCGGTAAGGTGCCAGCAAAAACTAATGCAACGACTGACTTAGTTGAAATCAAGTGGCAATGAAAATTATCGAAAACAACGCGCATACTGGCGAAAGTAGATAGCTACCGGCGTTACGTAATTCTTACATAACCTCACGCAAAAAAGCGAACTTATTGAATAAAAACAACATTACAGTTGTAATATAGTCAGAAAAAGAAAAACCCTTTTCGCAGTTGCTTGTGAATAAATAGAAATGCAAATTCTAGTTGCTACAATCGCTACTTTTCGAGCGCCTCACTCACA